TGCAATTTTTTCAAGAATATCATACAGTTTTTTCCCTACTCCGTTCTTGCCATCGCGTATTTTGTCGAAGTTAACATGTGTTAAAGGGATTGTCAAGGGAATCGACTCATGCATGTTAAGGCTATCCCTTCTTTCTTTTTGGCATGACATACGACACTGATAGCATTCATGGCAGCTCAACATCATTAAAGGAGAAGGATGAAGCTCTGGAAGCTCCAAGAAGGCCCATGACAAGGTCTCAAACAAAGAAATTTCAAGACAAGCTTAATGGGCTTCAATTGGCAATTAAAAAGTGTTTTATAATAGAAGAAGAGCTTCAGCACAAGGAGGATCTTTGGGCCAAGTCTTACAACTATTTTGAGGCCAAAATTAAAGTCCAAGAGGAGATGGAATGAGGCCCAAATATGCCCCAAAAGAGAGGAATTTTCAGCAGCCCAAATAAGCCCAAAAATAGTTTCTAGAATATATATTTAATAGTTGTTTTAATCTATGTTGACTTGCATTGGCCTATGTGTATGTTGACTACATTGGTCTTAGTGTGGGTAGTCTTCTATGCTTCTAGGGAATATAATTCTCATTTATTGAAGTCTTGACTAGCTCCTTCTTTACTACTATATAAAGGGGTGCTTGTCTTCCATTGTAGAACATTATTGAAGATTAATATTATTATTGTGAGTTCTTTTGAACCTTTGTGAACTTTACTTTGAAGATTTATCTGCAACCCTAACTAGTTCATAGCTTAAGGTAGTAAGATAATTTTCTTTCTTGTGATATCTTTGGTTTCTTTTGATATTCTTCGAAGGCGACTAGTTCCTTTTACTAGTTGTTGTCGTAAGTTATTCAAACTAGAAGTCAAGATCCGAATCTAGTTCTTGATTAGCTTATCTCTAGTGAAGGCAATTGGTTTCATAACCAACTTGTTGTCATTAGGATCTTGTCAAAGTCTAGATTAACATAATCTCGGGGTTCTTGGACCTTTCCTCGAATTTCGACATATCTAGTTTATTTTTCTTGCTCCGCTTGCATTTCTTTACTACTTCCGCATTTCATCAACTTATTTTCTTCAAGTTCTTGGATCTCCCAACCTTTGTGTTATCACCTTGTCTCGCCACACGTGCATTATAATGTTCCCACCTTGTCTCGCTACATAGATCATGCCAGCTAGTAAGTATAGAAAAAGAAACAGACAACACGTAGAATGTTTTCCCACAATTTCCACAAAAATAGAACTCACACAGGTAAGTGCATCACTGCACAAATATCAACAACAAGAATGCCCCCAGGCCATCACAAGTCATCACAAATCAATCCCTAAGTCCACCTTGTCTCGCCATGTGTGCAATAATAAATTAAGTGCTCGCCTTGTCTCGCCCCACGTGCATTTGTCTCGCCACATGCGCAACCCACATATATATATCCCGCCTTGTCACGCCGCATGTGCAAATATCAACAGTAATAATAGCACGGCAGAAACCTGGTGCAATCCGCTAACATTCGCGCGGTAGAAGCCTCGTGCATCACAATAACAACAACCGCACGGTAGAAACCTTGTGCATCACAATGACAACAGCATGGCAGAAACCTCGTGCATCTCAACAACAAGTACAACAACAGCAATGACAATAAATACAAGAGTACGGCAAGTAAATCAACTCAAGAACTTTCGATCACAAAGAAACGGTAAATTAGTTCACAAGGAATAACCACAATAGAGAATACTAGGCGTAATAAGAACAGCTCAACAAGGGAGAAAATAATATGTAACAACAATCCCACAATATGCAGTCCAACAACAAGGGAGCTAACACGAGTCAAATATTTCCAAATAAGGACCTGTCAACTAAGATATAGGATATCTAAACTTCTTATAAGGTTGGACAATTACGAAGAAGATACAACAAATTCAATTAAGGATAAGCAGCGAAAGGATAATCATAATCTCAATTAAGACCGAACAATTACAGGATGGGATAATAACAATTTCAAATAAAGATAAATAGTTATGAAAAGATAGCATGACAATAGAAGAGGTAAAAATCTTCAGTTAAGTCAAATAAGAGTCAAATAGACAATACGAGTGAATCATAAAGCAATTAATTCCAATTAAAGCATGTAGAAGTGAAACTAGTAAATAGGAAACTCAATCATATCAACAACAACTTCATACTCGGTGAATATAAGGACCTAAGAACCCTAAAAGGCCAACTTTCCACAAATAAGTCCGAGCATGCACTTGTCACCTCGTGTACATGGACTACAATTAGCATAAGAGACTCAAATCCTAAGAAGTAGTTCCCCCACACAAGGTTAGGCAAGATACTTACCTCGAACCAAGCTCAATCAATCAGTAAGAATGCTTCTTCCACGATTTTCCGACTCCGAATGGCCTAAATCTAGCCACAAACGATTCGATACAATCAACACGAGCTAAAGGAATCAATTCCATAAGAAAATGCTAAGCTTTAAGTCAAAAGTCAAAAAGTCAACACAAAAGTCGGGCCCCAAGGCCCACGTCTCGGAATCGGGTAAAAGTCACGAAATTCGAATACCCAATCAACCACGAGTCTAACCATACCAAAATTAACCAATTCCGATCACAACTCGACCTTCAAATCCCCAATTTATAGTTTATGAAGTTTCTACAATTTTTCCCAAATTCCCATTTCAAAGTACTAATTAAATGATGAAATCAGTGATATATTCATGTATTAACCAAATCCGAGTTAGAATCACTTACCCCGATAAATTTCTTGAAAAACCCACGAAAAGTCGTCTCAAACCGAGCTCCCAAAGTCCAAAAATGAAATAATACCCTAAACCTCAGTTATATAGTACCCAATCTGACCTCTCAATGTGCGGTTCGCACAATTCCAAGTGCGGTCGCACGTCCTAGCTTCTACGGCCGCACTTTTGCAACTTGTGCATACCAGACTTTAGTATTTTGACCATAACTTTCTCTGCAAATGTCCAAATGAAGATTTCTTTACCTTGCTAGAACTAGACACGAAGGGCTACAACATTCGTTTTTGAATCATGTCCAAATTCCTTGTATATCAAAAGATATAAGCTTCCGATGTCGGACCAGCGAGCCTGCAGAACCACCAGAAGTGCGACCGCAGACAAAATTGTGCGGTCCGCACTTTTCCTCTGCGATTCGCACTTTTTCGTCTGCTGCAACACTTTTTCATCTGCTACAACACTCAAAAATGTGCCTCAGCACATGGAATGGAATTATGTGGTCCACACTTCCAACGTTCCAGAACAACATTAGAGTGCCGAAATGTCCGGACTCGCTCAAAACTCACTCCGAAACACACCCGAGGCCCCCGGGACCTCAACCAAACATACTAATAAGTCCTAAAACGCCATACGAACTTAGTCGAGCATTCAAATCACATCAAACAACGGTAAAAACACGAATCACCCTCTAATCCAAACTTAATGAACTTGAAACTTCAAATTTCTACAACCGATGCCGAAACCTATCAAACCACGTCCGATTGACCCCAAATTTTGCACACAAGTCATTTTTAACATTACGAACCTATTCCAACTTCCGGAATAGGAATCCGACCCCAATATCAAAAAGTCCACTTTCGGTCAAAATCTCCAAAAATTCGACTTTCGCCATTTCAAGCCTTAATCAGCTACAGACCTCCAAAACACAATCCGGACACGCCTCTAAATCCAAAATCACCCAACGGAGCTGTTGATATCATCCAAACCCCTCTCCGGAGCCGTTCACACAAAGTCAAAATGCCGGTCAACTCTCACGGCTTAAGCTTCCAAAACTAGAATCCTTTTTCCAATTTGACTCCCAATCATCCGGTAACTGAACTTGACCACGCATGCAAGTCATAACGCAAAATACGAAGCTACTCAAGACCTTATGCCGCTGAACGGAGCTTAAATTCTCTAACACTGGTCGAGTCATTACAATAGTTGTCTCATTTGCTCCTATTGCTGACTTCTGCATAAAAAGCTATCATAAGACAATTATTGGAGATACGCCTATCGCAAGACAACATAAATCATTTAATGATTGCTTCCATAAAAGAAAAGTTTCATTAATTAACAAAAGGTGGTCAACACTTTACTATTCAAACAAAAAATAACAAAGGTTGTCTCTTATCAAATTAGGAAGAAGAAATGGTTGTTAGTAGAGCATAAAGGGTATCAGAAGATGATGGATCCCAAGTTATCAGGATCTATGTTCGTCTGTCCCTACTTATTTGGATGGTGTGCGGTGCCATGCTTAGGGTCGATTTTAAGACTGGAAAGGTTTTGGTGGTCGACTGTTCGGAAAACTTGTTTACTTTTGCTATCTAATTAGGTTATAGCGTGACAAAGCTTATTCCTTTCAATACTAGTTTTGGACTAATGGTAAGGTGATCCGTTTCAATTGCAGAAGGGGGATATTCTTGGGTTAAGAGTGTTATCACTTAGACATTGTGTAACGGAAGATTTTCCCATTATCAATAAAATTATTTGCATTATCAAAAAAAATCACTTGGACATTGTTTGTTGATGGTATTATATAAGTATATCCCATACAATGGGCCACCTAATTTCAGAAACACGCAGCTTAATCCTTTCTCTGCATCTCTTGATCATTATGTGGTCAGGAGGGAGACATGTTACTTCTTAAATATTTGTCAGTTAATAAGAGTTATTCTTGTTTAAACAGTCAAATAGTCCTTGTATGAGGCCATATTGTCTTAGTTCCATATGCTGATGTGCCCCCAATATGATTGGACCAGTTTCTACGAGGACTTCTTGGGGGAGCACCCCCCCCCCCCCCCCCCCCCTTATTAGGCCTAATTGCCTCAATGCGGTCATAATATTTGCAAAATCTGATGGTTTGGTTGACCTACATCATGCTTCTTGGACCTCTCGGATGGAGGAAATTCTTTAGCACACTTGAGAAGCTGAATTTGCTTTGCTTTTATTCTAATTGCTGTAATCACAGATCTGATGCACTCTACTCTGGTCTTCTGTAGGGGCCAAATGGGACAATATGAGAAGGTAACTGAGAAAGTGAATGAACAGAGGTTTCCGGAAGTAACCAATGAAGAAAAGAAGCCTCTAGAAAATGGAAGCCAGGAGAGTGCAACTGGTTTCAGCTGTTGCCAAGGTGCTGCAGGAGTTTCTTGTTGTAGAGATGCAAGTGCTGAGCCGAAAGAGAGTAAGAAGGGGCAGGGAAGAGTTTCAAACTGGTTCGGCAAATGGGAGCAGCGTGAAGTTCTAACAGCCGTGGGCGTGGTTGGAGCAGTGGCTGTTGTTGCTGTAGCTTATGGCTTTTATAAGAAGGCTCGGTGATATGTCATCGTCTCATTGTTAACTTCGCATAAACTTGGCGCTCAAGAGTTTTCAGGCATCTAGTTTTTGTAGAAAGGTAATAATGTTTGTTATAATCTCGAACCATGATATTGCATACATATTGGTATACGTTAAATCTAAGAGTGGAAATGTAATGCAAAGTGTAAGTCCACTATGGAGATGAGTTCCTTTGCTCCTTCCCAACAAGAACCTAGAAAGGCTGTTAAATATAAAGTGCCAACCGATAGCTACAGAGATTCTTTAAATTCCAGATGCCTTGGTGGTTTTTGTTTCTCCTTGCTTGGATTCAAGGGTGAATGAGATCAATATGGTTTTGTTAGGTTCTCTATCTTAAGTTGGTAGATTCATTAATTCTCTGGAGGCTGGGCTGGAGTGCAGCTTCTGAGTCGTTATGGGCAACTTTTGCTTTTTTTTCTTCTTCTTGTGAAACAGGGTGATATAGTTTCTTCAGCCTACGCCCTTTGTCCACTTTGGAAACGACTCAGAATACTTCTTGATGAATAGTTAGCAAACAGTAGTGATATGTCTGGTCTAAGAAATTTTTGACAGATTTGTTTTGTTAACAGTTGCTGAATGTTACAACTTACAAGTGCGTTTATACGGGTAGATATAGTAAACTTTAGGCATCTTTTTCATCTCAACTGCCCACCTTTGGGAATTTGAAATGACAGAATTCTTCCTCTTCGTATGCATTTCTGGTTAAATAATTGATAGAATATTTGACAAATAAAGAAAGAATCTTTGTATCAATATATGGCAACATGTGAATTTTGCCATTAGTTTCAAAGAAGACATCTTATGTAAACCGAAATGAAAACCACGCAAACATGCACAAATTAATCTACTTGTCCAATATGTGCGTTACAACCTCACCATCCGGCAAACAAGCGTTTTGAGTTTAAAAAAAACGACAACCAAAACCTTCCCACAAACATCACCCAAAGAATCAAAAAGAATAAATCATTACTTAAAACTGATGTTAATCTTATGGACTTTCAGCAAATACTTAACATATGGTATCTGAAATTACTAGACCCATTGATCTGCATTCACACAGCGTAGTCAACTAAAGGGAATTGCTTTATACCAGGAATTTCTCAATTCCGAGGGCTCCAACCCCGAGAACCTTCGGTTAAGGTGGAAGGATCCCGTCTACTAGCTCAACCTCTTACTTGAGCAAATACTTGTTGACATATATGATTGTTATATATTGAAGCTACAAAGATGAAGGACAGTTGAGCAACTCATTTCTGACCTTCCCACTTGTTTCCTGTACAATCTGTATGCATATCCTGGATCTGTTGATACTATAACACTCATTGACTAGTAAGCTATGTACCTGATATCGACATCCAGAAATACTTGAACCATATCTAAATGCGGAGAACACACCTGAGCAGATGTCGTTTGTCTCAAACTTCTGAAAATATGAAACTCTTTCAGCACGATTCAGCAGAACGTTTCAATTAGGATCATAGCCTGCCTCTCTCATTTCGCCTCAAAATTTCTTAGGAATCTACAGATGTGCTTTAAGTCCCAGTTATATCACTTATTGGCTAAAAAGACATGAACCTCATTCCTAAAGTCTAACAACACTGTGGCCAGTTATCTTTTTCAATTGTTTCTCTTTAATTGCACTTCTAAGTTCAGCTGCATCATCCCACTTCCCATCAACAGCATACATATTTGATAACAATATATAATATCCTGCATGATCTGGATCAAACTGGAGAAGATTCCTGGCAGCGGCTTCTCCAATCTCTGCATTCTGATGAATCCTGCAGGCACCAAACAGCGCCCCCCATACGTGTGCTCCAACCTGTGACTGCATTTGGTTAATGAAGCACATAGCCTTGTCCAATTCCCCAGTTCGTCCAAGTAAATCAACAATGATTGCATAATGCTTTGACTCTGGCATCAGTTGGTATTTATATAACATCATATTGAAGAATTCAATTCCTTCCTCAACAAGACCTGCATGACTACAGGCTGCTAAAATTGAAAGGAAGGTAACTTTGTTCGGCCTCACTGTTGAATCTGTAACCATACGATGAAATAAGTTAACTGATTCCCTAGCTTGCCCATGAATTCCATAGCTTGCAAACATGGAGCTCCAGATAACAACATCTTTATCTGTTAATCCTTCAAAAACCTTATCAGCCTCCTCCAAGCTACCACATTTTGCATAGCATTCAATAAGTGAAGCCCCGACGAAAGAATTGCTGGTGAATCCTCCTCTAATTACATAACCATGAAGACAAGAAGTCAATTGAATAATCCCCAACTCAGAACAAGCTACGAGAGTTTTAACCATCACAGTAGCATCAGGCTGGATATCACTAGCCATCATATCACAAAAGATTTGCATCGACTTGTAGAACATTCCATTTTGAACACAACCACATAACAGAGAAAACCACGAAACATCATCTTTGTTCAGCATTCTATCGAATACCATAATCGCTTCCTTAGGTGAACAGCAGCTCATGTACATATCAATCAAAGCAGTGGATACCAATATATCCAGTTCAAGACCTTTCTGAAAAGCTAGTTCATGTATTTGCCTGCCTTTTTCTAAATTACAACAAGCTTCAGACGCTTGTAAAGCACTGATCACACTAACCGAATTGGGTTCAACACCTTTATGTATCATCTCATCAAAAAGACTTATTGCTCTATCAGTAGCACCATTATGAGCACAACAAGAAATTATACAACTCCATGAAATTACATCTTTTTCTTCCATCATCCTAAACAAATTTCCCGCATACTCTATGGACCCAGTCTTTGCATATAAATTCAACAAAGCGTTCGATACAGGTAGGGGACTTTCATTATTCATTCTAATTACAAGCCCATGAACGCTTTTCCCAGCTTTTAAATTCAGCAACTGAGTACAAGCAGAAACAACAGTCACAAGAGTTACTGGATCTGGACTAACGCCATGTGTCATCATCATTCCAGTAAAAACAGCTAATGCTTCATCAGGCTTAAAGCTTTGCTCATAACCAGTAACCAATGTAGTCCACAAAACAAGATCAGGCTTTGTATATTCCTCAAAGACGCGTAAAGCGTCGTCCATATCTCCACATTTCGAGTAAAACTCAATGAGGGCCGAGCCTAGAAACATGTTTGAATGAATATTACCATGTTTTATCCCGAACCCATGAATTAGTCTGCCAAAATTTAGTGCATTTAATGCAGAACACGCCTTTAATACAAAAAGTAGAGTGAAATGATCAGGCTTTTCGAATGAAAACATAGATGAGAAGAGAGACAGTACTTCCCCATATCGTTTTATCCCACAAAAGCGTTGTAGAATGCGATTGCAGGTGTATCCACTTGGCTGAGGAATTTCATCAAACACTTTACGGGCAGTTTGAACAGGTAACAATTCGATGTAGAGCTCAGTCAGTTTAGCGGCGATTTGAATGTCGTGATTTAGTCCAGTTCTTATGATTAGAGAATGCAATTGGGTCAGCAATTTGGCTGTTGTACATACTCCGACAAGCTTCAAGACAATTTCCCGTGATCTCATAAGTAGCAAAAGGATAACCGTTCAATGAAATTACATTTCATGCATTCCACCTAGGAAGTTACAAATGCTTAAGCCTCAAACATAATGTTCCTAATAATACTGCTAGGTTTTACAAGAGCTCGATGTTTTTGGTTCTGTGGAACAAGAACTAATGATTGGATGAAATAAAATAATGGTAAGTCTAGGACAATATATTTCAGCTCTATCGTGTTTATACAAAGTCTTTCTCTTCACGACGACTGAGTTACAAGATAGTCTTTTGCTAGCTAAAGGTAGCAGATATTGGAAAGCAAGCTGGCCAAAATACCACCCTTATAAAATAATTTCCTTCTCTTCTTCTTTCAAAGGAAGAATGCAGTATATAAATATATAATGCTACGGTCGAACCTCTCTATAATGGTCTCATTTGTTCTGAATATTTTTGGCTGTTATAATAAAGTACTATTCCCTCCATTCTAATTTATGTGAACCTGTTTGACTGGGCACGAAGTTTAAGAAAAACTGAAAACTTTTGGAATTTGTGGTCTTAAACAAGTCAAAAAGTGGTCCAGAGTATTTGTGTGGTTATAAAAGCATCTCATTAAGAGTAGAATTGGAAGTTTAAGCTAAATTGTTTCCAAATTTAGAAAGGGGTCATTCCTTTTGGAACGGACTAAAAAGGAAATAGGTTCACATAAACTGGAATGGAGGGGCTGGGGAGTATTATAGAGAACATATATTATAACATAGCATAAAAACTTAGCTTTTATAGTAAATGACTATAATATAACGATGGTATTATAAAGAGGTCTGACTATATATAATTTCAAGTTTATACATGATATAATTTTTACTTGCACATAGTACATTGTCCAAGCTGATATTAATAAGTGCAATTGCATAGTGTTGGATTTGTCCATGCTATATAGATCCAAGGGAAGAGAGAATATTTTGTGCTCCGGAAAGGATGAATTGCTAGATGTAGTATAATATGGTTCCCTTTTTATTTCAAAAGTGTTAAGTTACGTGCCTTCTTGTGTTTTGATGATCTAACAAACTTCATGATAAAAATCAGATTGGGAACATGTTACATATCCTCAAAGTGCTCAAGAACAACAAGTCTCAAGTGTGGCACAAGTCCCAACAACTTGAGTTAAAGTTTCGGCAGAGGGAACATATGACTATCAGTTCCTCAGTGACAGTACAAGTCAACTCGGGCCCTGCAGTGGTAGAACCTCGTGAACGCATACTATTGAAGCACCTTCTGTGAACTTTTCTTCTCTTATGAAATTTCTACTTAGCTTGAAAAGAAAAGAAGCCTCAAGCCGATAAGTCATCATGTTCGATAATTTCGAAAGAAGAGCTGAGGGCTGATCTACGACCACCCTCTCACTTACGGCACACTCATAAATAGAATCCGTCATTTTTTCTATTCCTTCCTACTTCTTCTTCCTCTATTATGTGCTTTTATTATACAACTGTAAAGTTGCTGCACTGAATCTCTGCACACGCAACAGTGCAAACAGTGCAGCAGTCACTTTAAGAGCATGCCTTGTAACGGATAATTGCTTACATCATCCCAATAACCTCACTTATATATTACCAACTTGAGGCAAGGGAAAAGACACACTTGTATAACCCAAAATTATCAAGTTTCTCTCTCAAGTGTGTTGCCGAATTCGAGTGACTTCAAGGCTTCATGAACAAAGCAACAACAGAACGAAGGACCAGATCCCAACCCTATATTATCATATGTCCTTAGTATTGTACCTTTGTTAGAGTGATCTACTTGTAATTCCTAC